TTTGAAAACAGCGACCCCTAGCGACGCCTAGCGGCATTAACGTACATGTGTGTTGCTCAAAAAAAACTTTGATAGTTTATCTGTCGCTACGTAGCTGTGGTTTGGTTACAGTAAACATACATTCGTCTAAAATTAATTTTCTTATTGGCCTATTCATTTTGACTAACCCTGTATTATATGCTAAATGTTTTAATTGTATTTTATCATTGTTGAGGCATCAAATTGTTGCCAACTGTGAACTACCTTGAGTCGCCTCTGGCTGAGAAAGGCAGTATACAAATGTGGTAAACAAATAAATAAATAAATATCAAGACATTGGTCAACCTCTGCTGGAAGATGTCAATACAACTGTATCGAAGGACTCTAGGTTGTTCAGCATGACTAGAGGAACTTCATCATGGAGTCACATTGGGCAATCTAGAGATTCCTGGTGATAATAATTTTTTAATGCAAAGCATGAATAATCAAATCAAAAAAAGTCAAAACCTCCACTGCAGAGGGGCAACTGTACTTCCTGATACAAATGTGAATATTCCGATCTCTGTGCCTTTGGTAACACCCACCAAGCCTCAGAAACAGTACTATTGTGAATTTACATCCCTAGGCCAAATTTGCCAGGGCACATTTACTGCCAAGATTGACCGAGCTCAACACACATGTCTGGTATGCACAACGGGTAACAACATTTCAAGTAATCTGGCAAACGATGCTCCTCACACCCACAGCATTGGACAGCTCCACAATTAGCAGCTTCTCTGCTGGTGAAAATTAATTTGCTAGTTCGTTCTAAATTTGTAACAACAGCTGTGGCTATAACCTAGGCATGAATCACTGGAGCGCAAAAAGGAAGAACCACACTCCAAAAAGGAAAGGAAAGGAAAGGAAAAGAAGCATATTTTTATAAATGGAAGCAAAAGAGAAAGAGTCTGTTTGGTCATCTTAGCCAAAGGCAGGGAATGCAATGACTATATGTAAGTAAGGACTAATGGCAGGAGCTCACCCCACTCCCTGGATTCAAACCGCTGATCTTTCGGTCAGCAAGTTCAGCAGCTCAATGGTTTAATCCACTGTGCTACCGGGGGCTCCAATTACAGATTTAAATTTTGTAGGACATTCAAAACTGGAGTCTGATTGGCTGAAATGTAATTGCTATCCCTGATCAAAATAGGCCCACTATTTATTTATCGTGTCAGGAGCAAACCAGACAGTTGTATTGCATTTTTTGACAAACAAACAAACAAAACACAAAGTTTGCAAGCTTGGTAGTTGATTAAATGTCCTTTGACCAGTATCTGGCCACTTGGAGTGCCTCTGGTGTTGCCGCAAGAAGGTCCTCCATTGTGTATGTGGCAGGGTGCATTGCAGCAGGTGGTCTGTGGTTTGTTCTTCTCCACACTCGCATGTCGTGGATTCCACTTTGTAGCCCCATTTCTTAAGATTGGCTCTGCATCTCGTGGTGCCAGAGTGCAGTCTGTTCAGCGCCTTCCAAGTTACCCAGTTTTCTGTGTGCCCAGGGGGGAGTCTCTCATTTGGTATCAACCATTGATTGAGGTTCTGGGTTTGAGCCTGCCACTTTTGGATTCTCGCTTGCTGAGGTGTTCCAGCGAGTGTCTCTGTAGATCTTAAAAAACTATTTCTTGATTTAAGTAATTGACGTGCTGGCTGATACCCAAACAGGGGATGAGCTGCAGATGTCACTGCCTTGGTCCTTTCACTATTGGCTGCTTCTTCCCGGCGGATGTCAGGTGGTGCAATACCGGCTAAACAGTGTAATTTCTCCAGTGGTGTAGGGCGCAGACACCCCATGATAATGCGGCATGTTTCATTAGGAGCCACAACTACTGTTTTAGCGTGGTGAAATGTGTTCCACACTGGGCATGCATACTCAGCAGCAGAGTAGCATAGCACAAGGGCAGATGTCTTCGCTGTGTCTGGTTGTGATCCCCAGGTTGTGCCAGTTAGCTTTCGTATGATATTGTTTCTAGCGCCCACTTTTTGCTTGATATTCAGGCAGTGCTTCTTGTAGGTCAGGTCCTACTGAAGGCCCACTGAAGCAATGGGTTGGACTGTAGTTTGATTCACCATTCAGCAATTGACATAATTAACTCTACTTGAAATTAGCCAACAGAATGTCAGTCGTTCTGGTCAAAAAGCACACATGTCATTTTTGTACCACAACAAATTGCGTTTTCAGTACAGAAATCTGATCAGGAAACTTGATTTTCTGTGCAGAAAATGTATTTTATGAACCCTCATCCATTTTCTTGCATACAAAAAGTTCTGAATTGCAAAGATGCTTGTATGCCCAGGAGTCTGCTTGTTGTGAATTGTCAACACAGAATCCTAGAGTTGGAAGAGACCTCATGGGCCATCCAGTCCAACCCCATTTTGCCAAGAAGCAGGAAAATTGCATTCAAAGCACCCCTGACAGATGGCCATCCAGCCTCTGTTTAAAAGCTTCCAAAGAAGGAGCCTCCACCACACTCCGGGGCAGAGAGTTCCACTGCTGAACGGCTCTCACAGTCAGGAAGTTCTTCCTCATGTTCAGATGAAATCTCCTTTCTTGTAGTTTGAATCCATTGTTCCCCGTCCTAGTCTCCAGGGCGACAGAAAACAAGTTTGTTCCCTCCTCCTTATGAATTCCTCTAACATATTTATACATGGCTATCATGTGTCCTCTCGGCCTTCTCTTCTTCAGGCTAATCATGCCCAGCTCTTTAAGCCGCTCCTCTTAGGGCTTGTTCTCCAGACCCTTGATCATTTTAGTCGCCCTCCTCTGGACACATTCCAGCTTGTCAATATCTCCCTTCAACTGTGGTGCCCAGAATTGGACACAATATTCCAGGTGTGGTTTATCCAAATCAGAATAGAGCTTGGGTAGCATGTCTTCCCTGGATCTAGACACTAGACTTCTATTGATGCAGGCCAAAATCCCATTGGCTTTTTTTGCCGTCGCATAACATTGTTGGCTCATGTTTAACTTGTTGTCCACAAGGACCCCAAGATCTTTTTCACACGTAGTGCTCTCGAGCCACACGTCCACCATTTTATATCTTTGCATTTCATTTTTTCTGCCAAAGTGGAGTATCTTGCATTTGTCCCTGTTGAACTTCATTTTGTTAGTTTTGGCCATTCATCTCTCTAATCTGTCAAGATCGTTTTGAATCCTGCTCCTGTCCTCTGGAGTATTGGCTCTCCCTCCCAATTTGGTGTCGTCTGCAAACTTGATGATCCTGCCTTCTAACCCTTCATCTAAGTCATTAATAAAGATGTTGAACAGGACCGGGCCCAGGACGGAACCCTGCTTGTGGCACTCCGCTCGTCACTTCTTTCCAGGATGAAGAGGGAGCATTGCGGAGAAGCACCCTCTGGGTCCGTCCGCTTAACCAATTACAGATCCACCTCACCGTAGTTTTACCTCGCCCATATTGGACTAGTTTCCTTGCCAGAAGGTCATGGGAAACCATCTAACATTTAAATATCGTGGCTCTCAATGAGACATGCCGCATTATCACGGGGTGTCTGCGCCCTACACCACTGGAGAAATTACACTGCTTAGCCGGTATTGCACCACCTGACATCCGCCGGGAAGTAGCAGCCAATAGTGAAAGGACCAAGGCAGAGACATCTCCAGCTCATCCCCTGTTTGGGTATCAGCCAGCACGTCAACAACTTAAACCTAGAAATAGTTTCCTAAGATCTACATAGACACTTGCTGGAACACCTCAGCAAGTGGGAGTCCAAAAGTGGCAGGCTCAAACCCAGAACCTCAATCCATGGCTGATACCAAATGAGAAACTCCCCCCTGGGCACACAGAAAACTGGGTAACTTGGAAGGCATTGAACAGACTGTGCTCTGGCACCACGAGATGCAGAGCCAACCTCAAGAAATGGGGCCACAAAGTGGAATCCATGACATGCGAGTGTGGATAGGAGCAAACCACTGACCACCTGCTGCAATGCCACCTGAGCCCTGCCACATGCACCATGGAGGACCTTCTTGCAGCAACACCAGAAGCACTCCAAGTGGCCAGATACTGGTCAAAGGACATCTAATCAACTACCAAACCCACACATTTTGTATTTTCTCTGTTTGTTTGCTTTGTTCTGTTAGAAATGTAATATAATCGACTGGTTGCCCTGACACGATAAATAAAATAAGTCATTAATAAAGATCCTGAACAGGATCGGGCACAGGACGGAACCGTGCTGATGGCACTCCACTTGTCACTTCTTTCCAGGATGAAGAGGAAGCCTTGGGGAGAATCACCCTCTGGGTTCGTCCATTTAACCAATTACAGATCCACCTCACCGTAGTTTTGCCTAGGCCACATTGGACTAGTTTGTTTGCCAGAAGGTCATGGGAAACCATCTAACATTTAAATATTTTCTTTATATTCCATATTCTTTATATTCTTTCCATTTACTATCACATTCAGGCACACAATGTTTATGGACTCCTGCTCCCCCATTTGCTCTTTGCTAGAGCCATCAAGCGCAGGAAAAAGGAGACAAGTCTGGCTTTGAAGAAGGGCAAGGAAGAACATTAACAAAACGTGTGTGAAGGTTTTAAACTGGCTGAGCGACAGGCAGGAAACGGGAGACCTGCGACTGGGGATTCAGCTTGGGAGCTTTGTCAAAACAGGACTGGTTGGCAGCCATGCCGTCGTCCACTTAGTGAACGAACAAGAGCAGACGATTTCATCTCATTATGCCAGTTCCATTCCAAAACCGTGCGTATTCACTCCCCTCCTTCCTCTTTCCGAAGGTACAAGTTGCATCTCTCAAAAGCACTTACCGTATTAATGAGAGAGGCAAAGGCACATCGTAAAAAATCTGAACTGCTAGTTTTATGCCAGAAAGCCAGGGAGAGGATGAGAGTGAGAGTCAAAGCAGTTACTTCTGTTCCAGGAATCGCGGAACGATTTCCCACTTGAGGGTTATGAGTCAGATTATAAAGCAAGCAAAGCACAACCCGGCCGCTCGGCCTGGATGCCTACCAAGGTTGCTGCAGAATTCGCCCACCATGCCGTCCGGATTGGCGGTCGGGATCTGGGTGAGTCCCGTCAGGATGAGAACGTCGCTGCTCTTGAGGGAAGCCTGGTCCATGGGCTGAAAAAGAGGGTGTCCAAAAGAGAAGTTCTGTTAGACAAGAACATCAGAACCACTTCTGATCAGCCTCCCTGGTCCAGGTTTCAGTTCTCTAAAGTGCCAACTGTTGTAAGTCTGGGCTGATGGTCTGTAAAGTGCTCTTTCTCCACGTAATGGCCAAATCTCAAAGCTATCCAGTAGCATAAATGAGCTAATTTGTATTTAGAAGAGCTCTTTAGATACTTTAGCTTGGAAGCTTATGGTGGGGAAACAATACACAACTCGGAATGGTAGAGTCCATGTTCCTTTTATACCAGCAACCTTATAGGCAGTTCTCATAGCTCTTGGGATGGGAGATGGGTCTTGCCTGTTGTCACAATCGAGATCTCTGCCAGTATGCAGGCAGAGATAAACCAAGACAACAAAACTATTTACTTAAAGCAGCACTTACTCATTTGGCTGTTTCACAGTCCAAGTTCAAAACATAAAATAGCACACAGCTCAGGTACAAAGCAAAGATTTAGAACAAGGAGCGTCCAGTGTTCCCTCACTTATCGTGGGTGTTCCGTTCCAGGACCATCCGCAATAAGTGAAAATCCACGAAGTATTTATTTGTCGTGTCAGATTAACCAGTCAATTATATTACATTTCTAACAGAACAAAGCAAACAAACAGATAAAATACAACATTTGTGAGTTTGGTAGTTGGTTAAATGTCCTTTGACCAGTATCTGGCCACTTGGAGTGCTTCTGGTGTTGCTGCAAGAAGGTCCTCCATTGTGCATGTGGCAGGGCTCAGGTTGCATTGCAGTAGGTGGTCTGTGGTTTGCTCTTCTCCACACTCACATGTCGTGGATTCCACTTTGTGGCCCCATTTCTTAAGGTTGGCTCTGCATCTCGTGGTGCCAGAGCGCAGTCTGTTCAGCGCCTTCCAAGTTGCCCAGTTTTCTGTGTGCCCACAGGGGAGTCTCTCATTTGGTATCAGCCATTGGTTGAGGTTCTGGGTTTGAGCCTGCCAGTTTTGGACTCTCGCTTGCTGAGGTGTTCCAGCGAGTGTCTCTGTAGATCTTAGAAAACTATTTCTAGATTTAAGTCGTTGACATGCTGGCTGATACCCAAACAAGGGATGAGCTGGAGATGTCTCCGCCTTGGTCCTTTCACTATTGGCTGCTACTTTCCGGCGGATGTCAGGTGGTGCAATACCGGCTAAGCAGTGTAATTTCTCCAGTGGTGTAGGGTGCAGACACCCCGTGATAATGCGGCATGTCTCATTAAGAGCCACATCCACTGTTTTAGTGCGGTGAGATCCGCGAAGTAGGGACGCTATATTAAGTTACATATTTATACAGCCAAAAAAATTATCCAGCCAAAAATTGGGCTGAAGGCCCAAAGCAAACTCGCTTCCAGGCACCGCCGGAGAAACCAGTGCTACCGCATGCCAGTGGCTGCCGCTGGCAAGTTCGCCGCAGAAACACTCACCAGACACAGGGAAGGCACGCAGCCTGGCATAGCCTTCTGGAGCCCTTTTAAAAGCTGCCCGGAGCCCCAGTCCATCCAGTCCAACTCCCTTCCCCAGGGCAAGAAAACATAATCAAAGCCCTCCTGACAAAGAGCCATCCAGCTATATATATACACACACAATCATATATGTATATGACCTGGAGGTTGCCTGGTTTGCCTGTTATGGGACATGCAACATATAATTGTCCTTCTTTAGGGGTCCCTTTCAAATCTATGATACTATATATTTGAAAGGGACCCCTAAAGAAGGACAATTATATGTTGCATGTCCCATAGCAGGCAAACCAGGCAACCTCCAGGCAACACTGACAAAGAAATAACAATAAATACTGGTTACCCACAAGTATAAAGAAATTATGTTTATTAGAAACCAACACTTTCTCATTATTTATCAGATCACCAGATTGGGCCACAGCAATGCCTGGCAGGGGACAGCTAGTAGAATATTTTCTATTTCAACTGAGTAGGACTTGAATTTTCTGAAGCTGACTGTCTTTAGACTACGGGTAGGGATACCTTTTGGAGACAACGAGTGGGATATTTTCCATTGCTTAGAAGAGTTGTTTTGAGGGCTACAATGATGGGAATCTCCCAGTTTGGGGATTCTGGGGATTCCAGTTCATCAAAGTTACTTTTCCAAACTCTGGTATAGACCACTAGGGCTATTCCAGCTTTGAGTAAGGCTACTCTGGGTGGTCAACATAAGACTTGGTGTTTAGGCATCTTTCTAGGGCAGTAGTTCTCAACCTTCCGAATGCCACGACCCCTTAATACGGTTCCTCATGCTGTGGTGACCCCAACCATAAAATTATTTTTGCAGCTATTTCATAACTGTAATTTTGCTACTGTTATGAATCGTAATGTAAATATCTGATCTGTAGGGTGTAATTTCATTCACTGGACCAAATTTGGCACCAATATGCCCAAATTTAAATACTGGTGGGGTTGGGGGGTTGATTTTGTCATTTGGGAGCTGTAGTTGCTGGGATTTATAGTTCGCCTACAATCAAAGAGTATTCCGAACTCCACCAATGATGAAATTGAACCAACCCTGGCAAACAAAACTCCCATGAACAACAGAAAATACTGGAAGGGTTTGGTGGACACTGACCTTGAGTTTTGGAGTTGTAGTTCACCTACATCCGGAGAACACTGTGGACTCAAACAATGAAGGATCTGGACCAAACTTGGCACAAATATTCCATATACCCAGTTGTGAACACTGGTGGAGTTTAGGGAAAATAGACCTTGACATTTGGGAGTTGTCATTGCTGGGATTTATAGTTCACCTACAATCAAAGAGCATCCTGAACCCCAGCAATAGTAGAATTGGGCCAAAATTCCCACACAGAATCCCCATGACTGACAGAAAATACTGTGTTTTCTGATGGTCTTTGGTGACCCCTCTGAAACCCCCTCGCGACCCCTCTAGGGGTCCCGACCCCCAGGTTGAGAAACACTGTTCTAGGGTGATGATGTGTTATGTGGGTTGTTGTAGGTTTTTTCGGGCTATATGGCCATGTTCTAGAGGCATTCTCTCCTGACGTTTTGCCTGCATCTATGGCAAGCATCCTCAGAGATAGTGAGGTGCTTCTTCTCACAACCTCTGAGGATGCTTGCCATAGATGCAGGCGAAAAGTCAGGAGAGAATTTCTCTAGAACATGGCCATATAGCCCGAAAAAAACTACAACAACTCAGTGATTCTGGCCATGAAAGCCGGAACACAATACAACGTATTATGTGTTTTGGGGTGAGAAATACCACCCAGGAATTGTGGGAGTTGAAGTCCATGCCTGTTCTACAGGATAGATACACACTTCAGTTCAACAAGTTGGCAGTCCAGAAAAGTATATTTTCTTAGCTTTGAGTAAAAACATAACAGTATGGACTGTGGAGTGGGAAACTCATAATTTTTTAAAAATGAAACTCTCAAAATCAGAAAACGCCAATAAGGCCATAAACGCAATATTGAACCTCCCTCTGGAAAATATATGTAATCATTATGCAGTATTCAATAGTTATAATTTAATCTTCCGTTGAGCGGAGGGCGGGAGGGACTGACATTGATTCTTTGGGTCAACGTGCAGAGGGGGCTTTTGAGAGCCTTTTGGCAAACCTTCTGGGCTGTGTCCATGTCCTTCCCTTTAACCCTCCGTAAGAGTCAATGCCGGATTTGTTTTCAGAGCCAAGAGTTGATTTTGTAAGTTACTGGTGTTGAGCAGCACCAGGGCAAAGTGTCCTTGTAGAGAGGGTTAGAGCTCCAAGTTTCACCTAATAAAAGGGATTATGCATATTGGTTGATCGAAGCTTTTAGCCCCTGAACACAAGGTAAGAGCAGCTGTTGCTGAAAGGGACCCAAGTGTGATGATCTGGATCTCAGTAGAAAATGTTGTTGCATTTATTAGATAAATTAAGGAAAGGCATCACTATGTATGAAATGAAGCTCAAGGATGATTGTCTTCCAGATGTGGTGTCTTGGCGGTGGGTCTGTAGGTGGCTGTGGAGCCCTATTCTTGATCTGCATGTTCTCCCGTGGTGAGGACATCGTTTTCCAGATAGAGGCGGTCCCGGTCACGGTTGGTTTGACATGCCTTCCTCTTGGCATGTTTGTCCCTTTTGCCCTCCATTTGTGCCTCTTCAAATTCTGTAGCACTGCTGGTCACAGCTGACCTCCACCTAGAGTGCTCAAGGGCCAGGGCTTCCCAGTTCTTGTTGTCTATGCCACAGTTTTTAAGGTTGGCTTTAAGACCATCTTTAAATCTCTTTCTGTTCTTGAGTTTGGAGTAGAGTAACTGCTTTGGGAGACGGTGATCGGGCATTCGGACTACGTGGCCGGTCCAGTGGAGTTAATGGCGGAGGACCATCATTTCAATGCTGGTGGTCTTTGCTTCTTCCAGTATGCTGACATTTGTCTGCCTGTCTTCCCAATAAATTTGTAGGATTTTTCGGAGGCAGCACTGATGGAATCGTTCCAGGAGTTGCATATGATGTCTGTAGACAGTCCACGTTTCGCAGGCGTATAGTAGGATTGGGGGGACGATGGCTTTATAAACAAGCACCTTGGTATCCCTACAGATATCCTGGTCCTCAAACACTCTCTGCTTCATTTGAAAGAATGGTGCACTTGCAGAGCTCAGGCAAAGTTGTATTTCAGTGTCAATGTTGACTTTTGTGGAGAGGTGGCTGCCAAGGTAGCGGAAATGGTCAACATTTTCTAATGTTACACCATTAAGCTGTATTTCTGGCATTGCAGATGGGTTGGTTGGTGACTGCTGGAAGAGTACTTTGGTTTTTTCGATGTTCAATGACAGGCCAAGTTCCTCATATGGTTCTGCGAAGGTGTTTAGAGTAGCTTGTAGGCCTTCTTCTGAATGCACATAGATGACATTGTCATCAGCATATTGGAGTTCTATAACATGTTGTGACCTTAGTTTTGGCTTTCAGTCTGCTGAGGTTAAATAGCTTGTCATCTGTCCGACAGATAATTTCCACTCCGGTGG